CGCAGTCCGGGGCAGACCCTGTGGCACTGGGGCAGCCAGAGCTCACCCCGCAATGATGTACGGTCCCCCAGTGGCTGGTGACTTGGGGACAGTCCAGCACAGAACGAGGTGCGTGGGGTCAGAGCCCTTGGGATATGATCCCTTCTGCCATCCCTCCCGCTGGCACCTCTGCCGGGGTGGCAGGGCTCCCTCCAGCCCCCAGCAGCAGAACTGCCACTTTCCAGAGCTGAACCAACCTCTCCAGCAGCACCAGGACCTTGCCAGCCCCACTGAGCCCCAGAGGGATCCGGCACCCATCCCGGCTCCCACCTCCCGTGCACCAAGACGTGCCGGCCTCAAACGCTGCCCCCGGGGGCCTGGCTACCCGGTTCAGCTCCAGCATCCCATGCCCACACCAGCCAGGCCACCCCGAGCCTCTGCAGACAGGGAACAGGCAGGGAACAGGCAGGGAACAGGCAGGGTACAGGGCCACCCAGTACAGCCACTGACCCGCACAAAGTTCGGGTCACCCCAGCTCCCCATCCCTGCATCCCCTCTCTTAGTGACACCCATCACAGCACCAGCAGCTTCCATGCTCAGCCACTTTCCTCCCAAATTGTGACAAATCTATTTACACTGAAGCTTTACCAACGTGTGCTGGGGACACATGCATCTCAATAAACGCGCTCTAATTAACAACTGATATTTATTCAGCCCACAGTAAATAAGCTGTCGCGGGCAAACCAAGCGACGCTGCTTTTGAAGAGCAGCTCTCCTCTGCCACTTATTCAGCCGACAGCCCCCGAGATGTGGTGGCAGAGTGCTCGATTTTCCTGCCAGTTGCCTACTGTAGTGGTAATTACGGGTAATTAAAGCAAGTGGGTACGAAACACAACGAATCTTTTGTAATTCCTGTCTGTCGGACAATGATTCACCCCGAGTTGCTCTTTGTTTGCGGTCACCCAGCAGCAACGGACCCCGCATGTCGGCACAAGGGGGGTTTGTGCATCTTGGGGGTGGGACCCGACCTCACCCCCAGCACCAGGGATGGCCCCACAGCCCTCCCCACACTCCAACCTAGCCCCACAGCCCAGCCCGGCCCCACAACCCACCCCACAGCAGAGCAGGGACGAGGGGCAGCCTCCTCCCTCTCAAGCTTGCACCAGCATGGCCACCAGCTCCCAGGACACTCAAACTCAAGTGTGAATCTCTTGGGGAATGGGGGGGTCACATCTACCCCTTTTGCTGCTCTTCCCTTGCCTCTGTTTCCCTCATTTGCCGGGGTGATCCCCCAGGTCGGTTATCCCCAGTCCAATGGCACAAAGAGATCCTGCCAGACCCTGGAGCATGGGGACATTCGTGGCTAGAAACCTCCTCTCCTGCTTCCCAGTGCTGTGCCAGCGCACGGGATCAGTGCCTTGGGGGGGAGGAAGGAGGCCAGATCCTGCCCCCTCAGCACTCTGCAGAAGAGGGGAGTGGTTTGTCTCCAGCCCGTGCCGGCATCCCTGGGAGCAATGCCGAGCTGGGGGATGGAAAGCAGGATCCTGTAGCCCCTGCCCACCATCCCAGCAAGGAAAAAGCAGAGGCGAGCTGAGCTTCCAAGAAACAGCAGCCGCAGCTGCCAAGAAACAAGAG